ATGGAACAAGTAATGTTTTAAAGTAGGATCGAAGTTTCTCTGTTACTTACCTTGAGCAAATTTATTCATTATTCATACTGTCTTCATTCCCTAGAAATACTGTGTGAGCATAATTTAGGAGTTGGATTAAAGGGCAATGAGATTTTTTTTTGTTTTTTTGAGATGGAGTCTTGCTTTGTCACCCAGGCTGGAGTGTAATGGTGTGATCTCAGCTCTCTACAATCTTCACCTCTTGCATTCAAGCGATTTTCCTGCCTTAGCCTCTCAAGTAGCTGGGACTGCAGGCGTGGGCCACCATGCCTGGCTAATTTTTGTATTTTTAATAGAGATGGGGTTTCACCATGTTTGTCAGGCTGGTCTTGAACTCCTGACCTCAACTGATCTGCCCACACAGCCTCCCAAAGTGCTGAAATTATAGGTGTGAGGCACTGCACCCAGTAGTAGTGGTATTTTTAAGGGTAGTCAGTCCACAACTATGAAAAAAAATTACGAAAATGCACATATTCTTTTTTCCTTTTTTTATTTTGAAAAAATTTAAATTTGCTGAAAAGTCACAAGAAAGCACAGTTGATAAACCTATGCCCTTCACCTAGATTTATCACTAATGTTTTTTATAGCTGACTTTAAAAAATCTTTTTAGACTTACAGAAAAGTTGTGAAATATTACAGAATCCCTCTATACTTTTGACCAACTTTCTCCTAATGTTAACATCTTATATAGCCCTAGTTCCATTATTAAAATCAGGAAATTAATATAGAATCAGTATTGTTAACTAATTCGTATGCCTTATTCGAATTTTGTCAGTTTTCCACTAATGTCTCTTTTCAAGTCTAGGATTTTTTGGTGTCCATAAATGAAGGTGGGTAAGATGGGACACATTCTCAGAAAATTATCTTTGTGTATACTGTGCATTGGTGAGGCCTTGTAGATATCTTCAGTTAATTTTTATCTATCTATCTTATCTATATCTATTTGAGATGGAGTCTTGCTCTGTCACTCAGGCTGCCCTGCAGGGGTGCAATCACAGCTCACTGCACCCTCAAACTCTTGGGCTCAAGCACTCCTCCTACCTCAAACTTTTGCGTAGCTGGGACCACAGGCTTATGGTACCATGCCAAGCAGGTATCTTCAGTTTAGTCTTTACTGGTTAGTAACTGGAGAATAGTTCAAAAGAATGGTGCTCTGTCGGCATTCTCTGCCATGCTTGAGTGTTTCTGTGTTTCTTTAAGATGGATGTTTAGGGTTTCCCATTTATCCCAAGCAAATAGGAAATTTTCATTGAGAAAAATAAGAGGAAACATAGTTATTCCACTTTTTTTTTCCTGTAGGAATTCTTTCTGTTTTGTGTTGATTTACTAACCAGACTTGGTTATAGTTAGGCTTGCTATTCAATAACTAAGTTAAAATGAAGGAAAAGAGAACATTAACTCAGGCTGGGCTGGTGGCTTATACCTGTAATCCCAGCACTTTGGGAGGCCGAGGTGGCTGGATCACCTGAGGTCAAGAGTTCGAGACCAACCTGGCCACCATGCTGAAACGCCATCTCCACAGCTGGTGCCTATAATCCCAGCTACTCGGGAGGCTGACCCAGGAGAATTGCTTGAACCCGAGAGGTGGAGGTTGCAGTGAGCTAAGATCATGCATCTGCACTCCAGCCTGGGTGAC